GCAGCCCTATGGTCCACTATGACTATAGCAACTTTACCTTTTAAAAAATGTAATGAACCATGACCCCCTGAGCCAGAGGTAGGAAAACTACCACTGCACCAAAATAGCCTCTCGGTAGTTGTTGTATTCTCTCTGCTGAAGAGTTGTATTTAGATGGGAACAATTGGAGCATTCAGCTTTCTGGTTGGTTATGAAAGTTTTTTTGTAAAAAAAAAAAAAGCACTTCAACAGTTATAATTGTTATAAAAATTTGAGAGAGCTAAGTCAAGATTTTCTAAGTGTATGCCGTAGTAACATGCCACTGCATGTACACAACGTTCCTGAAGTACCCATTTCTCCAGGCTTGAAGGAAGCAGTTACTAGAGAATAGGTCCTGTCAGTTTGAAACTGCAAATACTAAGGCAGAATCTCCATTTGTTTTTAGAACCAATAGAAACCTTACATAAAGTGGTGAATGTGTATTGCTTTCCCGCCAAGGGAAAGTCATGGTCACAAGAACTGCAGCCATCTAAAACTGTGATCACCTCAGGGTAAATAGGGATGACTAATAAATGGGTTATATCAGGATCATGTTCATCTTATAATGGGGGAGAGGTGGGGCAATAATGGAAGCTGTGTCTCATGTTTAGGTCAGTCATATTTTCTGGTTATGAGACCATTACAATGCTTCTTTTATAACTGCAGCTAACATGGACAGCTTATGCAGCAGGAAATATGGTGCAACTGCGACCAGCTACTGAAAGCCAAGAAGCTATTGTTAGCTACCTGCCACTAAGTCATATTGCTGCGCAAATGATCGATATCTGGCTGTCCATAATGTTTGGAGGCACCACTTATTTTGCACAACCTGATGCACTGAAGGTAAAATATAATGCAACATGAAATATTAATTTTTAAATAAATACTACTTTGTGTATATTAATAAGAAGAGGGGCTGTTATACGTTGACTACCTTCTCCATTGTTAGAAACAATCTGGTTTGTGTGTTCTTGCAGCCAGAATACTGCATATGGTTTTTATTTGCAGCACAGGATTTCCTGTAGATCTCAAGTACCTCAGCTGCAAACTTGTGCAGTTTGAACAATATGTTAAAAATGACGTGCACGTCTTAATAAGGGAAACATCTTGATGCTTAACGGGAGCATAATGAGTCAAGAATTAACACCAAGCTAAAGAAGGGAAATATTAGGAGCATTGGTCCCTCCTGTTTCTGTTTGCTGTAGACGACCTCCATGTTGCATTGAGCAGTTCCTTTTAAGGTTGCCATGGCATCTTGATAGGAACATTGCTATTGCTTAGCCTGTTAGCTCCCTGGAGCAGCACATCTCCCATTGCTGCATGGCCACACCTCCCATGCATTTGGAGCTGAAGAGAGGTGACTAAATGCTTGGTGCAATAGTTATATTTTTAACAACAGCATTAAATAAGGGAATGAAGGTCGAGTTTTTGGTAGGAGTTCCAGAGGTTGGGTCCTACACAACAGGAAGCCACCAATAATGAACCATGGAAATGGTGGCAAGGGGGCAAATATATGAGGCGACAGTCAGAGAGCAGATGCCTTGGTGTGTAAGGCTGAATGTAGTCAAAGATGCAAACCTGACTTCTTGATTGCAGCAGAAACAATGGATGGAATTTTCTGGGGATTGCAGTCAGTTGAGGGGCTGCAAAGATATGCATCTTGGGGACTGGGCTGTGCTCAGTCAGGACCGCCCTGTCAAGCCAGGCTTAGGGCTAGTCCGTGGGCTAGGCTGTGTTCAGCCCTGGGCGTTGGAACATTTAATGGTTGGGGGCTTCATCATGGGCCAGTCCGTAGAGCCCTGAGGAAGGTGGGATAGTGATGTCTGTAGATGGTGTTAGTCAACACTGAGTAAATAATTATAGTGAAAGGGACAGTTCATGATTGGAGGGGGGGTGGGATCTCAGTGTAGGAGGACGTGGGAAACTTTTAGAAGGGTGTTTATCCCAAGTGACAATCGCAGGCCTCGATGTGGGAGGAGCATGTGGCCACAAGGGAATGGCAACTCTCAAATCTGGGGGTTTGGGTGTAATGTTTGGAGTACCACAGGGCAAAGGACACGTTCTGGCGTGCAGTGTTTGAAGTGCTGTGGATATTTCAGCAGCACAAACATCCCAACATCCTGGTCAGCACTCCTGCCAGACAATTTCACGACAAGAGCATTAAAGAAGCCAGGTGCCGAATAACTGAGCTGAAGAGCAAAAACTGAGAAATGCCAACGTGGACCATGGCAGGGGGGCGTGCCATGAATTCCATTTGGAAAGATTGCTTTGCCAAAACGTGGGAAAAGTCGGCTCTTAATAGCTAGTCAGCGAGGAATGAGTGTTAAAGGCATATTATAGTGGACAAATGAGATTAATATTACACTTCATATGGATTGCAAACCAACTTTGATTAGCCTAAATGATCTTAATCTGTAATTATTTGTTTCTTTTGAAATTCAAAACACACCCTCTGGCTGCAAAGTTTCACAGTTAAAATTCAAATTATTTCATACATAGTAGCCAGTTTACATACTGTATTTGACACATCGACTGGAACTTGATGTTCAAAAATCTGCTCTGTTCTGTGCTCTGGCACAAATGACTTCAAGTGGGATTTGCTGCTTCCCTGTTACTGGATTTGTTAGAAAAGGGTGAAGAAGACTAAAACCAGGAATTTGGGAAGATTAACATTCCCTAGAAGGGACTGCTTGTACAGATCTTGCTATTTTACAAGTTGAAATTTGGAACGCAGAAGACCAGGGATATCGGGGACAGCTTGTTTTGTGTCAACCTGTGTAATGTTATTGGATATACTATGTGGATTTTAAAAGCACAGGGCATATGACTCTGACCTTTCCTTGATTAAGTGATTCTTGATGAATATTTTGCAGTGAAAATTACTGAAAGAGTTGCCCAAGGTGCAATTAAATTTACTTGTGTGTTCTAATTATGATTTGATTTCAGGGCTCTTTGGTGACCACAATGAGGGAGGTCCGTCCTACAGCATTTATGGGCGTGCCTCGTGTGTGGGAGAAGATGCAAGAGAAAATGAAAACTGTAGGAGCAAAATCCTCGACTGTTAGGAGGAAAGTTGCCTCCTGGGCAAAAGATGTTGGTTTAAAAACCAATTTAAATCGCATGCATGGGTATGTATATAATTTAATCATTAGTTTTCCCTCTCATCCAGCTTGGATTCAACCATTTGCTTCATTTGATCATAATGACAAAACCTTCCTTCAAACACAGTTTTACCTTTTGAAGTGAAGGTCAAAAACAGAGCTTGTGAAATGTGTTGCCGCGTATGTTGTGGTCAACACACAAGAAGCAATCACCAAGTAGTTCTGACACAAAGTCAGTGAACAGGATCTCGTCCTATTTTTGTGTTTTAACAGTCAAGTCAGTGAATTATATGTTGCACTTTGGGTACAATGTAAAATGTCAGCTGTTGCTGTTACTAAGGTCCTGCAAAATCTCTAAAAGCGGTGCTCCGCTCTCACCCAAACAGGTTTCCCAATTCAGTTGAATTAACAGCTATAGACAAGTATTGCTGTCTGCACAAAGAGCAGGTGTACAAAACAAACTGAACGTTTCACCAACAGATTTTTTTATGGACTGTCTCTTCTTCAGAGAGAACAGACAAAGAGGAGCCTCCACCATAGCTGCTGCCCACTGAGGGCAAACTGCCTCTTTGTCATTTGTTACATTTATCACAACATTAAAGTACCAGATGCATTAATTTTTCACCATCTGCTACAAGGGTTTAGGAGCAAAACAAAGATGTCCATTTACATCCAGAATATGTTGCTTCTAAACTCTGTGTTATATGTTATTGAAAATTTTCTGGGCTATTTGTTTTAATTTTTTTCGTGGAATGGAGGCATCTCTGGCGAGGTCAACATTTGTTGCTCATTCCGAATTGGCTTTGAACTTCCTGGCTTACTCGGCCATTCCAGAGGGGATCGAGAAGGGTCAGCCACACTGCTGTTTATCTGAAAATACATACAGGCCGGACCATATAAGGACATCAGAGTTCCTTCCTAAAGGATATTAGGTAACCAGATGGGTTTTTATGACAGTCAATGATAGTATTTGTGACTATGAAACTGAGACTTCACATTTTCGATGCCGGAATTATTAATTGAATTTAAATTCCACTGGCTGCCATAGTGGAATTTGAACTGATAACCCCAGAGTACTAGACAGGGTGTCCAGACTAATGGTCCAGCAACAATACCCCAACATCACATTCACTTATGCATTAGATACATTGTATTTTGGTGCATCAATGGTATAGACTGTACTGTTTTATGATTTGAGAGACAAAGTCCATTACATTTTTAAAAAGGCTGGAAATAAATACTTGTGTTCTGTTTTTCAGAAATAATGCTGTTTCACTTAACTTCCGAGTGGCCAATGAGCTAGTGTTTAAAAAGGTTCGCAATGCTTTGGGATTGACTCGTTGCACAAAATGTTACACAGGAGCAGCTCCAATAACCAAAGACACGCTGGAGTTCTTCCTTAGTCTCAACATCCCTGTATACGAGTTATATGGAATGAGTGAAAGCTCAGGACCACACACCATTTCCGTACCTGATGCCTTCAGACTTTCAAGGTAGGATCACTCTCTTCAGTTTGGATTTTGAATGGCCAAATTGAGCAAAAGCTGTGTTTTAACAGCCATCTTCTTTTCCAGATTTTAGTTAAGTGGTAACCAGTGGAAGACGTTGGCTCTGCACTGCCAGTTGTGGTGTAGAATTCTGCTTCGTATCACTGATCCATGTGAATTCTAGTCAAAACAAATGTAACAGGTCTTTAGTGTAATTGTACCTCCAAATGCACTGTGCTGGAGATTACATTTTGCAAATGTAGTGAAGGAAATGTTATCTCAAAGGGATGAAAGCCTTCTCCAGTTTGCTGCCAACAGATGAACAGTAGTGCAGGACCAGGTGAAGCACAAGATCCAGATCACTGGCTTTGTGTTCTACTGTGCTAGCCCTGCCTTTTTCACGAAGCTACGTTGATGTCCTAGGGGCTTGTTGTCCTATAATATACATCCTATTAAAGAATTGTTGGATGCAGATCATTAGAGCCGCGGGAAATCTGATGTGTTGCTGTATTGGAAGAGTTAGACCATTAAACACACCTGTAAGGGTGCAGCAATTACAAGCCATTGAGGTAAAATTGTGCACTGAAAGTTCTGCTGAGACCTTTCACCCCTTGTCATGTTGCCCTTGTTCCTTTTGGATTGAATTATTTTGTGTGCAAATTATATTATTGGAACTCCATCTTTACAACGCTTTGCTATAATGCGGTAGCACCAAGCCCAGTTAAGAATCCTGGGTCGATTTGTGAAGCAGGATTTCGTCAGTCTCTTCCAAGGTACACTGCACTGAACAAGCAGGGCGCAGGTGTCAGAAATGGAACAGGTCATGGTAAATTGCATTTCACAGTCTCCTACCTCAGCTGAAAATCCCCAATTTCAAACTTTTGCTGCTTTAAGAAGGTCTGATTCTTGTTCAGGAGTTTCTAGTATTTTCCCTCTAATGCTAGTTATGCAGTGAGCACTAACTGCATTTAAATGACTGCAGAGAAAAAAAATCAATGCTGTCTGTGCTCCATTACATGGCATGCAGCAAATAAAATACATGAGCCACCAGTTCATCCTCAGGGGAATTACAGCCTTAAATTTTCCTTATTTTTGAAAATTTTAACATTTGTTCTATTTATTTCTTCTAGTTGTGGAAAGGTGATGACAGGCTGCAGAACAAAAATCTTCAATCCTGATGATGATGGCTGTGGCGAGATCTGTTTCTGGGGCCGGCATGTGTTCATGGGATATCTGCACATGGATGATAAGACACCTGAAGCAGTTGATGAGGATGGTTGGCTACACTCAGGAGATCTGGGGAAACATGATGAGAATGGATTTCTATATATCACAGGAAGAATTAAAGGTAAGTACTTTCATGTACCACTTACAAAAAAAAGTACACATTTTAGGACTGCGAAATCTTACTTGCAGTTTTGTTTTATCTTGTCTTGTCATATTGTGTATCAATTTTCTATGTTCCCAATTATAGTACAGGCTACCACTGCGTAATTCCAACATCTGACAACTGTGTGAGACTGTGTATTGTTTTCTCAATAGATCACTCAAAATGCTTTTTGAAATGTTTTCATTATCAACTAAAAGTTCCAATGTTTAAAACCAAAAAGTTAAACAATAAAAGGTTTTACATATTTTGCAAGAACATGACTGGCTTTAGCAATTGAATTTTCTTAATCTCCCAACATAAAATATTAATCTTTTGGAACCCTTTTTATAATGACACTAGCAAAATTTGTAAACAATCACTGTTGAGATGCTGTTTATGAAAGCCTTCCATTCTCAATATCATATGACAATAGTCACAACAGCCACTTTATCACCGCGCTCAGTTTCTGGCCAGCAGATGTATGGTGATCTCACAGGGAGATCCGAGAGAGCTGCCCCCACATTCTGGGGCTAGCACTTACTTAAATGACCTGCCAACAACCACTGGCAATCACATAGCATCTTTTTAATAAGTGTATCAAGATGTTTCACACCAGCGTTTACGAAAGAAATTCATAGTCGTAGAGCTGTACAGCTTGGAAATGGACTCTTCAGTCCAACTCGTCCATGCCCACCCAATATCTTAAATAAAGCCAGTCCCATTTACCCAGATCCTTCTAAACCCTTCCTATTCATATACCCGTCAAGATGCCTTTTTAAATGTAATAGTACCAGCCTCCTCCACTTCCTCTGCAGCTCATTCCATACACACACCACCCTCTGCATGGGAAAAGTTGCCCCTTTTTTAAATCTTTTCCCTCTCACCTTGAACCTGTGCCCTCTAGTTTTTGACTCGCCCACCCCAGGCAAAAGACCTTGTCTGTTCACCCTACCCATGCCTCTCAATTTTATAAACCTCTAAAGTTACCTGTTATCCTGTGACGCTCCAGGGAAGATAGCGCCAGCCTATTCAGCCTCTCCCTTTTAGCTCAAACCATCCAACCCTGGCAACCCTACCTTTAATATATCTGGATATTTATTAATAGGATTGAAGACGAGTAGTTGGATCCAAGAGGTGAATTTTAAGGTGTGGCTTAGAGAGGATTAAGTAGGGTACTCTGGCGCATGAAGGCTCACTGTTGATGTGAGAGTGATTGGAAACAGGGAATGCATGCAAAGTACTCTCATCTAATCTGGGTCCAAGACAGTTACCTGCAGAAATCTGGTGAGGAATCACTACAGATATTAATGATTTTAAAATTATTACTGAGCATTTCCTTTCACTTTACAAATGCATCCTCAGGATTCCGGGGTTGTTAGGTTGAATTGTTTGAGATCTGACTTGAGCAAGGAATTTTTTTAAAAGAATCAGACTAAGTACAAGCATTGGATACAGATTCAGCCTGAACAGGGATTTCCAGACATCTCCTAAAAAGATAGGTGTTCAGTAATACATCAAGTTTCTGCATTCAAAAGTTGAGTGGTAATAGGCTACATATCATCTGAGCCAATAAACCCAAGGGACTGACAGACCAGGATGTCATTGGAAGTCCCACAGGTTATACTTTTGAGATTAAAAAACAGACCCCAGTACTGTTGTCTGGTCAGTCGGTCTGCTTGTAGGGTTTTCTCACACTCTTCCATTCCTTCCTGTAATCATCTGTGGGGGTGACGGGATTATTGATCAAAATGAACAGGAGCAATGGGGCAGATCCTGCAAGGAGATCTGCTGACCATCTGTAACACCAGGTTTCCTGATCCTGAACAGCAAGATATATCCTGCCCGATTCATCGGTTAACCTTGTACATCAACAAACCTCTAAACACTAATGCACTGTAAGATTTTCCTGCATCTTCAACCACTAGATCCAGCTGCAGTTAATTTGTGTAAAAGAAAAATAAGATGACTTGATTACAGCAGTGTACCATGACCTGTTCCATTTCTGACACACGCGCCCTGCTTGTTCAGTGCAGTGTACCTTGGAAGAGACTGATGAAATCCTGCGTCACAAATTGACCCAGGATTCTTAACTGGGCTTGGTGCTACCGCATTAAAGCAGTGACTGCCCTTCCAAAAATGTATTTAATTGCCTACACAATGCTTTGCCAATTCTGGAGGTTATGCAAGTTGCCATAAATACAGGTGCTTCATCATCATTGTGGAATTCATTGTTGCTAATTTTTCCTTTTTTTTTCTATCATCCAGAGTTGATTATCACTGCTGGTGGGGAAAACATACCACCAATTCCCATCGAAGATGCTGTAAAGGAACGTTTACCAATCATCAGCAATGTCATGCTGATAGGAGACAAACGCAAATTCCTATCGATGTTATTAACACTAAAGGTATTTCATTTGATTTATAATAGCAATAGCCACAGGGCTGTGTAAATGCATTCAGGAAGTCATTTAACATGGAAGGTATACAGTGAGAATGAAAGAAATGTGTAGAGGCCAGGATTATATTTCATTGTTTAAATTGTTTTAAGATGCAAACTGAAGTGAGCCCTTTAAATTTATCTCATTTCAATTTGCCAGCTCATCTTCCAATTTCAATTGAAACATTTATCTTAACCATTCATTATATAAATATTCCTTCTGAATAAGTAGATTTTGTTTTCTACGATCTGACTCTAAAGAAATTCTTCATTCATTTACATCAAGTCCACTTGATATCTTTGAGGTGACAGTTATCCATGCATTGTGTAAAAAAAATTATAGGCTGCTGTGTACCACGCACACGCTTCCCGTAAATCCTATCAAGTTGGATCCAAAGTTTAAAAACCGAAAGAAGTGTGAATGCTATAAATCAGAAACAAAACAGAAATTGTTGGAAAAGCTCACCATCAACCTCTGCCTCTGATCACTCAGGGAATTGTGGATTGAACTTGCCAAATTTTCTTGGATCCCATGGGCTCTTAGCTATCAGACTCCCATGTGGGACCTTAACAAAAACCTTGAAGTCTAATTAGACCGTACCAAAAGCATTGCCCTCTTCTACACACAGTCACCTCTTCAAAAAAAAATCCAATCAAATTGATCACAATTGATCTCCCCTTTACAAAGTCATGCTGACTGTTCTTGATTAATCCCTGCCTCTCCAAATGCAGATTAATTCTGTCCCTCAGCATTGCTTCCAATAGTTTCCCCAACAGAGGTTAGACTGATTTTGTAGTTTCCTGGTTTATCCCTTCCCCCTCCTTGAATAACAATACTGCAATGGCTGACCTTTGGCACCACTATGGTCAGAGATGAATTGAAAATTTTGCCCTCAGACCACTCAAAATCTCCTCTCCATCTATGTTAATTTATTTAATTGAATTCCAGACTTTCTCCCCATATCATCCCCCTGTTTTTCTCTTTAGCCAATGCTGTATATCCCCCAATGTTTGGAGTTCACAGAATTTGATGGTCCCACCCTTTTTCTTTATTGGAACATGTTGGCCCTGTAGTCTCCATATTCGATTACTGATCATCTTGAGGAAATCATGGAAAGGATGAATTTCCGTTCAGAAGTTCATAAATACCTAATTTAGTTTGCCTTTGGACTTTATTTTATATGATCTTGTCCAAGTTACATTACTGGTCACACAAGTCAAAGCAATTACCACAGGGCATTCAGGTGTTAGAGCCAAGTTCTGGAATTCTCTCCCTTAACATCTCCATCTCTATTTCCTCGAAGTTGCTTCTTAAAATCTACTTCTATGATTAAGCTTAAGTCATCAGCCCTAACTATAGAGTCATAGTGCTTTACTGCACAGAAAGAGGCCTTTCACGCCGTCATTTCCAGTCATCAGGCGCCAATCTACTCAAATTCCATTTTCCACCATTTAGCTGTAACCTTGTATGCTAAGGGCTTTTTAAGTATTCCTCAAAATACTTCACAATGTTGTGAGGGTTCTTGCCTCTACCAACCTTTCAGGCAGTGAGTTCCAAATGCTCCCCCCACTCGACCCTTTGGGTGAAAACATTTTTTCCCCTCAAATCTATTCTAAACCTCAGTCTGATGAAGTCATTCCAGATGCAATGTTGACTGTTTCTATATTCACAGATACCACTAGACCTGCTGAATTTCAATCTGCACTTGATAAATGTGGATTATAGCCTCCAATTCTGAAAAATAAAACCCACCAGTCACAAAACACTTACTCTCCATCCCATATTGCCTTTAATGTGTGTGTCTACATGATCAAAATAGCACAATAAAGCAGTTGTCACTGAGCATTGCTAAATTTTAACCTATGTTCTGAATATAATGTCTCCAAGAAAGCTTTGTTATTTTCTTCACTTAACGGTGTGTGGAGAAGAACTAAAATACAGAAGGTGTGTCTTGAAGACTGCCTTTATTCTTCAATATACGTGTCACAATTCTAAAACTCACCTTTGAGATATTTATGTATGCAGTTGATTCTCTTTCCTGACTACTGTTCGACCAGATAAACTGATCCAACAGGTCTTGAGGTTTTTGGTTGAATATATTTAATAAGAACTTTTTCAAGTAGTCATTCCTTGAATTTCTTATGCAAGTAATCCTGTGTGAGGAAGTTCCTTTTTTTTTTAAAAATCCCTATTTAAGAACTTATTTGCTTAAATTAAGTATTGGCAGGGGAAAAAGTTTTTAAAGCACTGACTTGTTTTATTTCTAATTCATTGGATTAAGTTGCAATTTTAATACCACCAATAAGAGTTATATTTGTGTAAGTATGTTTGTCCATCGTCATCAGCAGTCATTCACTGAGGAATATGATTGTCGACATAGAATTTCCTATGTCACTGATCATGGGTTCTATATGTCCTCACGTAGCTGATGAGCCTAATCCTAGAGCTGCATCTCCGCCACCCATGGTGTTTCCAGGAGGTGAAATTAATCCTTGGCCCGCAGGTTGCTGGCCTTCCTTTCTCTGGTTCCTTTTCTCCAAGTCTTCGCTTCTGAACAAGTGTCTCCCAGATGTTTATATCTATGTTGCATTTCTTTAGAAAAACCTTCAGGGAAACTTTGAAATGCTTCCTTCATCCTTCTCCTATTCAAGTGCCTTCCTTGTGCTAATGTTACTAGCATGCACAGTAATGTTTTTTTTAAACCATATTCCAGTGCAATGTAAACAGCGATACTGGTGAGCCACAGGATGATCTGTCAGAAGCAGCAATTCAGTTCTGCCAAAGGATGGGCAGCAAAGCCACAAAGGCATCAGAAATCATAGCCAGCAAAGATGTTTCCATATACAGTGCCATACAAGAATGCATCAACCATGTGAATGAAAAGGCTACATCTAATGCACAGCGAATTCAGAAGTGGCTTCTTTTAGAAAAGGACTTCTCCATTCCAGGAGGAGAACTAGGTAAGGAATAAAAATAAAGCTTGGATATAATTGCACAAGTTGTAGACCAATTTTATCATTCCAAAGCAGGACAAGTCAAAACATACATACAGTGAACAAGTGGCTAAGCAAGCTGGTGTTCTAATATATTTTATTATGTAATAGTAGTGGTTTTTCTCTCTGCCTATGTTATTACATATGCATCAAGATCCCTATCTCAGGAAAATGGCAAGCCAGAAGTACACTGCTCCTTTAGAAATTGGTAGCATGGCAGTCAAAACAATTTTTAAAAACAAGCTAAAATTTTTTTTCTTAGAAAATATCATTTTGTATTGCAACGTTTTGTTATAAATCTCACTTATGGTGTATTGCCCTTTGTTAATCACAGGTCCAACAATGAAACTGAAAAGGCCTGTTGTGTTGAAGATGTATAGTGACCAAATCGATGACTTGTACAAGGATGCAGTAACTCCAATCACTCCAGATAATCCACTTACAGCAAATTAGACTTCATTGTTACTACAGCAGTGATTCACCAGCTGGATTTGTACATTGTTTGTCTATAATTTTGTTTTGCAATGTTAACATCAACTTTTGCATTTCTACATATGTCTCAAATAAATGTTCATGTTTCACAATTGTTTTAACAATTGTTAGAACAAGTGCTTTTTATTATAAAATGCTTAGTGCAGGCATTGTGCCAGCATTGCATATGTGCTAGTTTGAAAAGTTATTTTTCCATACTTAAATGTATGCGCATATAGGTGATTAATCCAACTTTTGGTATTTGACTTCCTAAGGTGGGATTATGCTGAAATGTAGTAAACATGAAGGGCCAGCAGCAACAATTCTGTTTAGAGTGATGTCACTTGGATACAGAATAAAATGTTTACAAAATCTGTGACAAATGGCAGATATTCTGCTATACATGATTACAGTCTCCAAAGAAGTGATCACATATTTTATAGTTTAATTAAACCGTATGTAGAGATTATTATTCCAAGATTTCCATTCCTTTAATTTTTGTACAGCATCCCCAAAAATTATTTAAACATGTCATATTATTTCTTTGTTTTTAGGGCTATTTATTGTTCTTAAAGTAAAATTGACAAAATATATTTTTGTTTCAAATGTACATTTTGTAGAAGAATTGTACAGCCCCATTTGGATCAGCCAAATAAAAAAAAATTGTTTTTATAAATGAAAAGTCACAATATAATGTGGCAGTGCTTTAAATTTTGTAGAATCATAGACTTTTACAGCACAGGAGTGTATGCTAGCTATCTGAAAGAAAAGATCAGATTCTTTCTCAGCTATTCATCCCCTTTGAAAAGTTACTGGATTCTCCTTTCACTGTGGTTCTACTTGGCTACTCTCTGACACAACCATACCCTGTATAATAGATTTATTTTTTGGTCTTTTTTAAAATCAGTTTAAATTTATGCTTTATGCCCTTTTTGACCAACCATTAGAATAGAAATGTTAGTGATTCTACAGCAGTAAGGGCCATGGTATCATCTGGTTCTGCTCACAACCAAAACCTTTTTTCATTTACTTTGAAAGAAGGGTGCCAAAGATTTACATATTTTTCATTTCTGCTTTTTAAATTCTGAAACCAAAACCCTACGTTCAGGGATTTTTACAGTTATATGTAACTTGATCTCTTCGAATATTCAAGTAAACTTGTATTTCTGCACTCCAACTTTTACATGAAGTCATTCTGCCCAATTTATCTTCAGCCTCCTGAAATTGTTCACTGTCACTTTTGTTGTTAAATGCTGTGTGCAAATTTTGTATCCTCTACACCTACGTTCAGATCATGTAAATGTCACTGCTCAACTTGTTTCACTTCTCCAACCAGCACAAGTTTTTTTGTTTTTTATTATACTGATACATTATCTCCAGTACAGTTGCCATCATCCTGCCATCCCATAGGACTGCACTCCCTTCAGAGAGAGAGAGAGACACGACTCATACTGACTTAATCCAGGGTCACCATATCTCGGGCGAAGGGAGAGGTTGCGAAGTAGAATCCTTCCTGGTAATCTCTCTGGCATCACTGCACCACAGACCAGTTGTCCAGTCAACTGAGCTAACCTATCTCAAAGACAATACACCTTAATTTCTACTTTTATTTGTAAGTGCTCCATATTTCCAGAAAGATGACTTTTCTGCTACAATCAATGTTGGTTACCCTTGACTCAATCCATGTCTTTTTACCATTTTAACTTTGGATAAAGTTTGATTTCCACAAGCTTTATCCACTCTTATGTGTTTATAGTTAATGATTTATTCTTTTTCCTCTTTCTCAATGTTACTGTTCTCCAGTACTTTAATATCCATATCCAAGGGTGTTTGAAAGATTGTGTTCAAAGAATGTGATGCACTGAGCAATATTTAATTCCTGTAACATACTAAAAGGGAGATAGTGAGAGATTGGCCAGGGGTATGCTGGAATAGATTAACAGGTAACAAAGGCATAGAAATTAGGTTACAGTTGCTAGCTTCAGTTGAACAGCTAAGATCAGACATAAATGCATTGGACTACAAAGGACTCCTATGATGTAATTTCCAGAATACCATGTGTAAAAAGTACCTAAAAATGAAATGCTGGGACTAAATTTTCAAAACCTTAATTATTGTACATGTTTATTTGCAACACTTATAATTTTGTAAGTATGAATTAAACCAGTTTTGAACTTTTCAGAAATAATGCCAACTTTGTGAAGGGGAATGGTATTAACCAGAGAAAAAGCAACCCATTAGCCATCCCAAGATTCCTTTGGCTGCAGGGAATAGCATTTTGGCAGTAACTTGATTAGGCTATAAAACATGGTAAAACTGGCACCTTAATATTCTATGAATGATCTATACAGTGGTTTTACTAGCAGTTGTTCTACATAAAGTATTATGTTTTTCTTATTGAATTATGAAATGAAAAATTTTGACTTGGTTTTCTCACCAATTGGGAAAATAATAGGAAAGCATTATTTCTCAATAGTAATGTACCACATCCATTGTATGCAAGATGCCAGTTTATAAGCTGAACACAATCCTCATGCAGTATCCAACATGGCAACATGTCACCTGAAGTTTGTAAACATTGCCCAATTAACATTTCTTCTACATTATCATTTGAAAGAATACTTCATTGATCTTGTTACCAGTTGTCACCCAACATCTTAATATATTTGCAACCAATCACTACGTTAAAAATCCTTAAAGTGTAATTACTGCTATTTACCACGAATGATAACACCCAGACTGTATTCAGTGTAAATATGGATACTGTAATGTTTTATTCTATTGCTGCAGACTGTAAATTTTGCATGAACATGTAATATGCAATGTTGAACAATTGCGTACTTCAAATAAAGTTGTGAAACCAGTAATCTTTCAGAAGGATGATATTTCAACGGGTCCTACTACTGGATTTTTTTTTAAAAAAGATCATTTTTACATTTGTTAGATTTTCAGTGATTTCTTTTGATGAACAGAAAAATAGAAGACCCATTCATATGATAACACGACTGATTACTTTTAAGATTAGACCAGAAGTGACCATGACCAGATAAACTCAAAAACAGAAAAGGCAGAGGTGCTACATTTGTTTTAAGCAGTAGCAATTATAATGAAAAAAAATTCTTTGACCACCTCTTCATTTAAAACATGGTCACAGTCTGATGAGTTAAGGATAGAAATTGTCACCCCACATTTTGGTCTAGCTGCACTGCTTTATAGCAATAATCAGTTAACAAGTACTTAAAAACAGAATATAAAGTTCACGTTAAAAAAATAAGTATTGCTGAAAAAAGACATTTTGTTAAAAGATTATCATCTTGCAGGCCAGGCAGATAAAACGCTTCAATAAAATGTCTTTATTTTTAGCAATACTCGGGTCTTAGACAACCAAATCATTATTTACAAACAAAAACAAAACTGAACCATATAGTACAAGGGGAAATAGTATCACTTGCCTCAGTCCATGTAACAACAGGTTGTACAAGTTTCCAAAATAATTTCAACAATCCCAACAGAAAAACAAAGTTGTCCTTTGATCCAACTCTGAATGGACCCAGTGCTTACAATTCTATTATCTTTCTTACCAGATCCCAAAAGAGGATTCAGCTTCAATACGAGAGAAAATCTGATGATTTCGGTACAGGACACAACCTTCAGCCCAGTGTCCTCACATCCATCCAGTGCACTGGAATAATGGCCTGGAATTTCCATGTCTGTTGTGTCAGCCTAGATTTTTAAAAAATTGGCAGTAACCTTATTGCGCTACCCTCCCCAATGACTTCACCTTCCCTATAACCAATCCACCCTTCAAAAACAAGGTCATCCAGAAGCCCAAATGATTCTTCATTCTCACTGCACCCTCTCTGATTTGGGTAATGTGGTATTTACTCAGGCTTCAAAGGGGCTAACACTAGATGCTGAATGGTGTAAGATGTGCTAACGTCCTTTTTGGGGTATAAAGGTATGATTTTCCTGGAGAGGTTATCCTGATGCTTCCATTGTGTAAAACCTTGGATTAGAATTTAAAAACATTGCTGACAAGAATTGAAACCCCTTTGTAAATGTAACATGCCTAGTCCAGCACCAGAAATTCTGGAGCCACTTCTAATCTTTATCAACAGCAATACTGCTATGATTTGAAACAACACCATGGAACCTATCTCTGACAATGCAATTCTACTGTTGGAGATTTTTCCCAACCATTGTTAGAATATTTAGGACCGTGCTACATTATATATAATAGTCCTCTTTCGTATTGGAACACTAGTAATGATTAGTCCTAGAAAGCTTTTGAGTTTCAATTTTTTAAAAATGGCACTACTCTGGCAATTGGAAAGATGAACTACAAATTTTATCAAACTGTGCGTTAATTATGGTGCAAAATAGCTGGTGAAGCGCTATTGCATGTGGTTGAAAAGAAGAAAAACAAGTGAAAAACTGTTGCAGCAGGAGGTGATCTAAATGAGGAAAGGTGGTCAACTGGAAGCCGACAACCACTCTCCAGTAAATATACAGGCACTCCTTCAGGCCTAGAAATACCAGAGAAAAGTTCAAATTTAAAACTCATCTTGGCCTTTTCTAGCCACTCCACAACCTGCTCCAAGTTCACCTTCCAGGTCAGGCCACACACTGATCTCATCAACAAGCTGAACAATGCTAATAGCACACTGTGCCACAGCCCCTGCCTGGCAATGTAGCTGTCTTAAGATACAGTGTCAAGAACTGAATTCAGTACTTCAGATGGGGTCAATCACAGCTGATTTGGCCCCATCAGCACAACTTTCACTCCTTTCTGTTGCAGCCCTTATCGCATTGGCCTATTGAATAACAATTTTTTTATACTATGCCCCTTAGCTTTTAAGCATTTTGATATTGGGATTCTTCTATATCTATCATTCATGGATTCACAACATTTACAGAATTCTTAGGTTCAAAGTGGACAATAGCCAAATTTCAGACATTGAATGGCACCACCCTGCTCCCTGGCCAATATCTCTGTTTCTGGCTTGCTACAGTGTTCCAGTGAAGCCCAACGCAAGCTGGAAGAACAACACCTCATTTTCCGCTTGGTGACCCTACAGCCCTCCGGACTCAATACTGAGTTCAATAGTTTTAGTGCCTAAACTCTCCCATGTCCCAGGCCCCCACCCCACATACCAGGCCTTGTTACCACATAGCCTGCCACTACACACCCCCTGTTGTTAGTCACTAACAGTCCCCATTATCAACTACTCACCCTCCCAGCCTGATCGTTAGCAACTCCTTTGTCTGTCCAACTGTCTTTCTCTCTCTTTGGGCTCTATCCTATCGTTTACGCCCTACCCCATCCACCTCCCTATTTTCTGCATATAAACTGACATTTTCCCAGCCACCATCAGTTCTGAGAAAGGGTCACCGGACCCAAAACGTTAACTGTTAATTCCTTCACAGATGCTGCCAGACCTGCTGAGCTTTTCCAGCAACTTTGTTTTTGATTCAGACATTGAACTCTTACCTTGCACTTTTATCAATATCTCTTTGCAACATTCTACTATGACTCATTTACCATTTGGCCTAACTTGGTGTCTGCAAAATTAAATGTATGGTTAACAGTTCTTTGGGGGAAAATTGTACTGAAACAAAATGCAGATGGAGTATTTATGGATCAGCAAAAGGCAACGATAAGATTCCACATCAGCTTAAAGACAAAAGTTAGGCAAATAAGAATTAAGAAATTGTGGCAGGGAAATAGACCTGCAACCTAAAAGAAAAAAAAAATGATATGGTTTAACAGCAAATGCAAGAAATGTCTTTGGAGGCTAGGTCCAGAAGGGGTAGGGATAAGTGGTCTCTTGCGTTGTAAAATTCTTTGAATTTTGGTGTCCTTCTATGTGGCAAGTTAAAAAAAAAAGCTTAATTAGATGTTATTTAAAATAAATGTGTTTAAAATGTGTACATATTACGGAAGTGGGAAAGGATAGTCAGTACTCAATGGGTTCAAAAATATATATTCTTTAGATAATATACAATGCAATAGATCTGTACTGGATTCGGAGACCACATTAGTGAAACCAAGTTCAGTAATGTGTCTAGCACTTTACAGAATTTTATTTCCACAGCAAAACTGTATCATTTGGCATTTTATTAGAAACCACAGAATTCTTCGGTTCACATCAGGGATGTAGCTCATTTGTTCTTGCAGAATATATACATTAATTCTATTGTCTTCAGGTAAAATTTAACGTTCACTAAAAACTAAAACAAAAGTCCCATCAAATGTTTCTTTAAAAACATTTCTTTCTTGTTCCTCTGGTAGCATGTAGAGGTGAACACCTCTTGGAGGAGAAAGTCACTCACTATTCTTCCTTTCTTTCTGCTCCTGACCTAGTAGAATAGCTATCCTTTCAGGAATTGATAAATGGTGATAAAATTTACGCTTTCACAATGACTTTCTTAATCCCATGCAGCGCTGGTTTTAAATTGAGCCTCAGTTTTGAAACAAAGTTTTCAATATCCAGTAACATTGTCGCTCATCTCCTAGGCTGCACCTTCCATCATACAGGGATTGAAGTCCAATGTCTTAGTTCTTATTTAAAAATACTACAGTCTGCATTGAAAGCCCAAGTCTTGTCATGTGGCTGTAGCTTCTAAGTAACTCTGTAGCTTACGGACGGTGGTTTCATCCAGTGAGAAAAGGTCAAAGTCAAAAGTTGTGTTTGTAACATTGAAATGTCCTGTTTCTTCAATCAGATTTACAATCTGTAAAAGGAAAACAAAGATCACTTGAAACCAAGCTCAGAAATTCAAATCAAATCTTTAAGAGTCTTACCCAAGTCAATTTTGATGGAAAAGGTAAACAATCGATAATACAGTAAAAATACAGCACAGTATTTGGTGCTGACAGTAATGATTAACCACAAAGAGATTATTTCATTCTGTGCGAAGAATAGTAATATTGGTTGATTGTGAAACAAATTAATGTACAACTTCAATTGGATAAATCCTTCAGTACCACACACTTGTATATTTAAATGATGTATTTTTCATGTACAAAATTTATTCCCCACAGTTTCAGTAACAGCTACTAAACTTCCATCTATTCAAAATCATTAATTTTAAAAAAAAATTCTATTTACTGTGCAATAAGCCAACAACTCTAGAGGAGTTGATGAGAAATGCAGAACCATGTAAAAGCTTAACTTCAGCAGGAACCAATTTGCTTTTCTCTATTATAAATAACCTGATTTATATTGTCCTTTTCATGACTTTGGGATGTTTTAGCAACTTTACAGATGATGAGATGAAAGTAGCGTAACAGTAATGTCATTAAACTAGTAATCCTGAAACCCACTCTAACCTTCTAGGGACAAGGATTCAAAGTACACCAGGGCAGACAGTAAAACTGTATTCAGTGAACTTCAATTAAAAGCTAAGCCTAATGCCAAACATGTGACAACTGTTATAAAAACCCATTTGATTCTTTAACATATGTTCAAAAAGAAAATCTGCAATCTGTTCTGGCCTATATGTGATCAGACCCACAGCAATGTGTTGGTTACAAGCTGATGGACAAGAACTAACGGCCTAGCCAGAAACGTCCACATCTCATTAATTAATTTTTAAAAAGTACTATTGTAATGTAGAAAAACATGACAGCCAATTTTCATAAGTCCCACATCCAGCAAAGAGAAGAATGACCAGATAATCTGTATTGTAATGCATATTAGAAATAAATGCTGTTCCACATATTCACCTAGTTTTTGAATAATGTCATTCAAGCTTCAGAGTAGCTAGAACCTTATTTTACCAACAATATCCAAAAAGTAGTGCTCTTCTTAACGAAGTGGCAGTCTTGATTATATGTTTAAACCTCCAATCTTCTGACCCAGAGATGGAAGTTCTACAATGAACCACAGTTGACACCATCACAGGAGAATTTCAAGTTGACTCAATTCAACCATTCACATGATGAGGAGTCACCAGCTAGGTCAACATTTATGGCCGATCTCTGATTGCCCTGAAGTTGATGGTGATGAACTGTCCTCTTGAACTGCTGCAGTCCAGGTGCTGCAGATACACCCACATTGTTGTTAGGGAAGGAGTTCCAGGATTCGACACTATGATACTATAATAAGCGATATCGTGGACAGTGAGGAAGGTTATCAGAAATTGCAGCAGGATCTTGATCAGCTGGGGAAGTGGGCCATAAAATGGCAAATGGAGTTAAATATAGATAAGTATGAGGTGTTGCATTTTGGAAAGTCAAATCATGGTAGGAGTTTCATGAGAATGTAAGAGTGTTAAGGAATGTAGCGGAATAGAGGGACTTGCAGTTCAGGTGCCTGGTTCTCAAAGTGGAGTCACAGGTAGACAGGGCAGTGAAGGTGGCTTTTGGCACACTGGCCTTCATCAGTCAGGGCATTCAGTACGGAAGTTGGGAAGTTATGTTGCAGTTGTTTAGGACGTTGGTGAGGGTGCACTTGCAGTATTGTGTTCAGTTTTGGTCACCTTGCTATAGGAAGAATGTTATTAAACTGGAAAGAATGCAGAAGAAATTTACAAGGATTTTGCCAGGACTCAAGGGACTGAGTTATAGGGAGAGGTTGGACAAGCTAGGACTTTTTTCTTTAGAGAGTAGGAGACTAAGGGAGGATCTTATAGAAGTGTACAACGTCATGAGATGCATGGATAGGGTGAATGCATTCAAGTCTTTTTCCCAGGGTTGGAGAATCGAGGACTAAAGGGCATCCTTTTAAGGTAAGAGGGGAAAGAATACATGGGAACCTGAAGGAGTTTTTTTTTTTTTTTTTTTTTTAAAACACAGAGGGGGATGTGCATAATGGAATGAGCTGCCAGCAGAAGTGGTTGAGGCGGGTACATTAACAATATTGAAAAGGCATTTGGATAAATACATGGATAGGAAAGATTTAGAAAGATATAGACCAAGTGCAGGGAAATGAGGTTAGTGGATGGATATTTTGGTTGGCAAAGACCCGTTTGGGCCGAAGGGCCTGTTTCCATGCTCTATGACTCTGACTATTTCAATTCAGCAACAACGAATGAATGGCAATATAGTCCCAAGTCAGGATGATATGCAACTTGGAGAAGAACTTGCAGGTGGTGATGTTCCTATTGTATCCACTGCCCTTGTCCCACGAGGTACTTGAGGTCGTAGATTTGGGAAGTGCTGTCTCAGGAGACTCAGTTAGTCTTGTAGTTGGTGCTCACTGCTGTCACTGTATGTTATTGGAGGGAATGAACTTTGGAGGTTTTAGATGGGATGCCAATCATTAGCCTGGTTAATCCTAGATGGTGCTGTGCCCATTCAGGCAAGTGCAGAGTATTCTAGCACACACCTCGCTTGTGCCTTGTAGATGGTGGACATGCTTTGAGGAGTCCGGAGTTAAGTTAGTCCCCACAGAATTCCTAGTCTCTGACCTGCCCTTGTATTTATATGGCTGTTCCTATTTAGTTTCTGGTCAATGGTAACCTCCAAAATGTTGTAAGTGGAGTACTGAACAATGGTAATGTCCAGGAGCAATGGTTGGATTCTCTCTTCTTTGGAGATGGTCATTGCCTGGCACTTTTGTGGCACAAATATTACTTGCCACCTAATGGCCCAAGCCTGAATATTGCCCAGTATATGAATGATGAATAAATCTGAACATTGAGCAATCATCAGTGAACATTCACATCTCTGGCCTTATGATTGGAAAGAAAGTCATAATTGAAACTGCTGAAGATGGTTGGGTCTAGGACACTACTCTGAGGAGATGCAGAGATGTCCTGTGACTGAGATAATTGCCCATCTATAACCACAACCTTCTTCGTTTATGCTAGATATGATTCCAATTGGTAGAGTGTCTCCCCCTTAATTCCAGTTTTGATAGCGGGTTCCTTGATACCATACTTGGTGAAACACAATATTACATAAAGGCTAAATTCTTGCTTCTCAAATATAGGAAATTTAAAATAAGTGCACTGTAGCGTAGAAAGTGAAAAGCTGCCACAGCATTTTGAATAACTTGTAATTTCTTGAAGACTGTGGCCCAATAGAAGTGTATTGAGAAATCAAGTCATGAGGTAAGTAGTGTAAATTAGGGTTTTGATAGTACCCAGTGAAAGCGAAATACAGAAAGAAACAGGATAATGTGAAAATAGTAACAGGATAAATGTGGAAAAGGAACAGTTCCGTTTAAAATCCCACAACTCTAGACTTATATTTAAGGTTGCAACTGCAGCAGAAATGCTAAAACAGGCCAGTATGAAGTTAATTATGTCGCCATACGGCTGACAACCATATAATCTGATAAGAGTAGGAGCAGAATTTTGGGCAGCATAGACTGACAGCATCCATTTCCAATGCACGACAGTCATGCTAAGTGAATTGCAAAGAACTCTAAACTGCCTGCTCAGTAATTCAACTCTCTGGAGGAAACATTTTCTGTAAATGTGTAACACTTTGCAGGCAAATCTGAGGGTTAAAATTAAGCATTTTAATCAAAATTGTCTACTTGTTGCACATTATTTATGCAGAGAAATTTTCAGCTAGACAAAGATTTCATGATGGCAAGTCAAACAAACCACTGAATTGTTGCAGCAATGGATTGATTATTTCCTGTTACTTGCCAGGTTTTCTGCCGTTTACTGAGTAGTCAAAGGTACTTCCCTATAGAACCAAACTGAATTGGATTACTTTTTAAAATCACCTCTAGGGCGGGTGGGACTTGAACCCAGACCTTCTATCCCAGAGGTTGGGATGTTATCAGTGGGTCACAGGATCTTTGATTCTTTTAGCTTAAGTCAGCTGGATATCTAATTTTAGATGTGAAACTTTTAAAAACTTGCTGGAAGAGTTTTAATTATATACCATTGGTTACATGCGAAGGTCACAAGCTCCAAGTATCTGCTTTTCTTCAATGGTACAAAGACCAGGAGACACAGATTTAAGGTTCTGGACAAGAGATGTAGGTGGCATATGAGGAAGAACTTTTTAAAGCAATAAATCTATAAAATCACCACAGACAAGTTATTGAGGAGATCTTGCAGCAGTGTTAGTGTACTTACCTCTGGGCCAAAAGCACTGGGATCAAGACCCACTTGGTGGCCATGAAAATTGCATCGTCATGCAGCTAAACAGGCTGATTATCAGTGTGAAAACCCTTCCAATACACTCATGGCAGGAGCCAGAAAGTTTCCTGGTGTGCCAGACGAGGTGAGTGCAGCAGAACAACAGGATTCCTAAGATAAAAACTCAAGTGCAGGCTGGTGACATGTGGCAGCATCCAATTTTAGCAGGTAATAGTGAAGGCAAATGAAATGTCTGTCTGTATTCCAAAGTGAATGGGGAGTAAAATTAGGGACATCTGGCCAAAACTGTTCAAGGTACTATTCAGACTACAGCTAGAATACTGTGAACAGTTTTGCGTCCCTTATCTAAGGAAAGATTTACTAGCATTAGAGCCAGTCTGGAGAAGGTTCACTTGGCTGAAACTGGGTAGGCAGGACTGTCTTATGAGAAGAGGTTGAGTAGGTTGGGCCTGTACTCATTGGATTTTAGAAAAATGAGAACTGACCTTATTGAAGTAATGAAGATTCGTAGGGGACTTAACAGGGTAGATGTGGACAGGACGTTTCCCCCTATGGGTGACAGTCTAGGACCAGATGGCATAACCTCAAAATAAAGAGTCACAGATTTAAGACACAGAGATGAGGAGGAATTTCTTCCCTCAGAGGGTACTGAATCTGTGGAATTATTTACTGTACAGGGCTGTGAAGGCTGGGTTATTTAAGTAAATACAAGGCTGTGGTGGACAGTGCAGTTGAGAGTTATAATATCAACCATGATCTCATTGAATAGCACAGCAGATTTGATGGGTTGAATGCCTACTTCTGCACCAATGTAGATGATCAATAATTTCAATAAGGAAACCAGGTGGGCAAGTGAGGGAAATAAACATGATGGGTTACATGGGTAAAGCATGGAAATGGAACTGACTGCTGCTTCACAGGAAGCCAGCACGGATTCCTCCTATTCTATAATGACTCTATAACTTTTCCACACATGGAATATCAGCTCTGATCAGCCTAGTAAAAATCAAATTGAAGTAATTTCAAACAATAGATTCAGAAGTATGGAAAAAGTGTTTAAAGCTTGCCAAGATTGCAAATGCTTTAATGGGCAGCCAGATCAAAAATTTAGGTAAACCAAGCAGCACCTGTGCACGAGGGGGAAAAAAAAACTAAAATTTTACTTAAAACAGCATGCAACCAGATATTAATTATACAATGCATTTTGTGATTTTATTTAAAATGATATGAGCACTTAAAAGGAGCAACACTATCAATAAAAAAGTTTGTGCATGCTGTCCAAGGGTGCATTTATAATTTACCTGTTGTAACACATTGCGTTCTCTTAATGCCATTAACCTGCGATGCAGATCTACCAACTCTTCTGTATATGACTGCAGAAAAGAAAGTTAACATTAGAGTTTTTACCTTGGCATCAGACTGCAAAAACTAACCTTTACTTTTTAGTTTTGATGCAATTAGGTTGACATTTGGACCCCCTCATTTCCAAAAGCTTCCAAAATAGTGCTTGGCTAGTTCAAAGCAACAAAGAGTAAACTGACAGCTTACAGAATGGACTGCACTAAATTCTCCAACAGCATTCTCTTCAGGAGAGGCAATGTATTTGCTCAGTTAGACATTTAGTTGGGCATTGTAAAATTCAACAAGATAGTAGTTTTACTCTAATGGGGAAGTAATGGCAGTGGCGCAGAATTGAACTAACTGTTCACAATAGCACAATGAAAGCCCATGGGCTTGTGTGTTCCATTTGATGCCAAGACCTTGAAGGTCAGACCGCAGACGATACTCCAAATGATTTGAGCTGAAGGCTTTCAGTAAGACAGTAGGTGCAAACCTCATGATCGAAGACTGGTCACCAAGCTAATGCTGCCATCCCAATATCTTGTCCCTCACTGCAAAATGGAGATGCTTGCCCATACAAAGAGAAACAAAAAGACTGCGACAAATTTCTGGTGGGATTTAACTAAAACAGTTAAATATCAATTTTGGACTCCCCTTTGGGATGAACAGCTTCAGTACTGTACATAACCATTCCCATTTTTACCTGTTCTTTCAT